TCTCATACTGGGTAACTGTCATGCTACCCTGCTGTAGGCGCTCAAACTGACTGCGTAGATCCTCTCTCTGAGTGAAGGGAATGAACTTCACCAAGAATAGCTGCGAGAACTGAGACCAAGAAAGAGGAGGTGAACTTGATAGTCTGCCCCAAACATACTCCTGCCACCACCACTTGGCGGAGCCATGTATCTAAAACACTACAAAGTCAAATCCATTGGACTCCACTATACCCATGTTGTGCAATACCTTATGGAAACCGTCCAAGGAATCCTAAAGATCCTCAGAAGGTGTACCAATAAAACGAATAGGAAATAACTTGGTGAACCTGTCCAACCCCTCTGACGATATCGCGGGTCGCTCCCCAGACTGTGTAGTAAAAACAGACTGAACTACTCCAACTAGTGGAACTACTGGAATCTAATTTCCGGGAGCCATCTACTCTAGAGTGTGAGTAGCAGGAGTCTGGGCTCCTTCCCAAGCCTAAGAGACGGTCGGTGCCATAGGAGACACACCGGCCTGGGCCACACTCTCGATAAGACCCACCAGGAGGACTAGGGCGTCCTCAAGTACTAGGGTAGCAATGAACCCCTCTGGGGCCTGAGCTAGTCCGACTAGCATGGTCTAAATAGGGATCTCCTCATCCTGCTCGATTTGAGACTCGTCAACAGGTGTTGTTACACGTGCTCTAGGCTGAGCTCTGCCTCTACCTGTGGCTCTACCTCGGCCCCGGCCCCTACCCCTAGTAGTACTCCTGATCTGCTGCAGATGAAGCTAGTGCTTTCGCCATCTGTGATAAAATAAGAGTAGAATGATTCAAACTTCAGCGATAGAACAAAGTCGCACGATAGAGAAATAAAGAAGTGAAATTTCCTAAAGCCTTATACCCTCTAGAAGATAAGTACAAACGTCTCTATACCAATCCTCAAGACTCTACTAAGCTTGCTCATGACTCGTGAGACCTAGGCAACCTAGTGCTTGATACCAACTTTTCACGACCCAAAATTCCAACCAATAAGGGGTCGTGATGGCGCCTAACACAGCTTTCTAGGCAAGCAAACACAGCAGAATGGATACTTGTTTTCGATAGTGACCTTGTTCAACTGTCGATAATCTATGCACATCCTCATTAATCCGTCCTTCTTCTTTACAAACAACACCAGTGCACCCCAAGGCGAGACACTAGGTCTAATGAATCCCTTGTCAAGCAAATCCTGTAACTGTTCCTTCAATTCTTTCAACTGAACTGGGGCCATACAATATGGTGAAATAGAACTAGGCTGAGTGCCCGTAACCAAGTCGATGCAAAAGTCGATATCCTTGTCGGGTAGCATACCCAGCAAATCTTTAGGAAAAACCTCTAGGAACTCTCTAACCACCGGAATCGAATCCATGGAAGGCACCCCGGCACTAGAATCATGGATATAAGCCAAATACGCCAAACACCCCTTCTCGACCATACGAAGAGCCTTCACATATGAAATGACCGTGCTAGTGGAGTGACCAAGAGTCCCTTTACACTCTAATCGAGGGAAACCCGACGTGGCCTATGTTACAGTCTTGGCATGACAATCCAAGATAGTGTAATATGGTGACAGCCAATCCATGCCGAAAATTATATCTGAATCTACCATATTAAGTAATAGAAGGTCAACCTTAGTCTCATAGCCCCCGATAGTGACCAAACAAGCACGATAGACCCGGTCCACCATAATAGAATCCTCAACGAGCATAGACACATAAATAGGAGAAGTCAAAGAATCACAAGACATATCCAAATACGAAGCGAAATAGGATGACACATACAAATAACTAGAGCCCGAATCAAATAAAACTGATGCATCTCTATGGAAAAATGGATCAATAACTGTGATGACCGCATGAGACGACTCTTCCTCGGGTCGAGCTGGGAACGCATAGTAACGGGGCTGAGCCCCACTAATCTGACCTCCACCTCTCGGACGGCCACTCACTGGCTGGCCTCCACCATTAATAGCCTTACCACTACCTCCGGCTGCCTGACCCTCACTTCTAGTTGGCTGAGCGGGTGGTGGAGCAACCGGTGTTTGAACCATGGCACGAGTACCCTGCTGTGGCATGCTGCTCTATGACCGGGGGCAAAATCTCGCAATGTGCCTCGGATCTCCACAATGAAGTCAAATAATGCTAAAGAAGATATCTCCAATCAATGAAGGTTCAATCTTTGATGAAATTTTAAAATTCAACATGTGCCCACATGGTCTAAATCCGAAATTAAGATCAAATTCCTATGACCCATTCTTCTTCGAGTTCAAATATATACTTAGTTTCAACACCCGGCCTCAATTGAGGTCTAAATTTTCAAAATTAGCTCTATTAGGTTCAAACCCAAAAAACTAATTTTTACACTTTAAAATCCTAGATTAAGGGGTCAAACTCTATAAGGAATCATGATATATAATCAAAACAAAGTCAAAAGTACTAACCTTAGAAGTTGGAAAGAATATCCTCACAAAAATCGCCTCCTTATGAAGTCTAGGTCAAAAAATGAAAAAGAACAAACAAATTCCAAAACCCTTCTTAACCCAGTTGCAGATGTCGCAAATGCGAGCAAAATCATCGCAAATGCGACCTAGTGATCGCAAATGCAAACTCTCAGTCGCAAATACGACTCTACCTTTGCAATTGCGATGCGACTCCCCCCCCCTCCCCCCCCTCCCCTCATCGCAAATGCAAGGTTTATTCGCAAATGTGAACCTCATGTTTGCAAATTGGTCACCGCAAATGTGGTAACATCAGCACCAGTAATGGATAATTCTTCTGAAATTGTCTGAAACCATCCTGAAACTCACCGGAGCCACTCCTAGGACCCCATCCAGTTATCCCATCAAGTCTATATACCTAACACGAACTTTCTCGAAGTCTCATAACACTAAAATAACTTCAACACAAGGAATCAAGTATCAAACCAAGAATTTTAAAAGTTTTAAAGTTCAAATTTCTAACTTTCAACTAGAAGCACCGAAATGACCTCGGATCAATTGAGACCCAAACCAAGCATACGTACAAGTCCAAAATAATCATAAAAAGCTAACATGCCCATTAAATCACCAATTCGAGATTGTTTACTCAAAAGTCAAATATTGGTCAACTCCAATAACTTAAAGCTTCCAATGAGAATTCTTCTTCCAAAAATCTCAGAAATCAAAACCAACCACACACACAAGTCATAAAACATCAAATGAACTTACTTTAAATCTAATAACGCAAAACGGAATGCTAGAACTTAAAACGAACAATCGGGTCGTTACATGAATATAGCACCTTATTCATATCATATATGGTGTCGAATCTACCCACAAAAAATCCCTTATTATGATAATAGAATTTATGTATAGCTGAGAAATTCCATTGAGAGGCGATAAACCTCTCTATAGAACCAATTGAAGGGGTGTTTCCTACTATATAAAGAATAATTAATTTTCTCCATTTTCCGTTCCACGCCTCTACATTCTCATAACTCAGTATAATTGTTTTGACTCACTCCTGAATGATAGGAGCCCCAAAGTTCAAACTCATACCCCTTGAAGTCATCCTATTTCCCCCAAACCAATTTTGCCCATGCATTACCATCAGTATTAGTGTTTTGAGTATTTACTTTTTGAGTATCTTCTATCACATCACTCCACGGTCCACGCTTCTCCTTCCCAACCTAGTTTGCATTCTCTAATGTACTTAAAACTGTAGCTGAAGCTAAATTCTACAATCATGTTGCCGTACTCCCATGTTGCTTCTACTTGTTCCTTTTCGGAGTTAGATTACTATTATTTGTCCTAGACAGAATCCCTAATGGTGATTTGCAGCAATTGGAGAAAAATTGTTGTCAATTAGAGCTAATTCACTTGTCCCAGCATTTTCTATCTCCACCACTTTCTGATATTCCTCAGAAATTATCTCTGGAGTTGAGTTATGCCCACTTCCCCTAGCTGAATCCCCCGACGGTGATTTAGAAACTATAAGAACTAAATTACATTCTTCGTCACTCTTATCTCTGTTACCAGTACCTACTAGAGTTCTTCGTCGATCTTCCTCTGCCCACGGCGGCCACGGTGAAGGATAGCAAGTTCACCTATCTTACGACGAGAGCAAAGAGGAAAACATGTTTAACAAAAGAAACTAATTTACTTATTAAAAAATATGACTGAGCTCCTCAATACTATAATGAATACTTTCAAATAGGGCATGTATGTAGTAACAAGGGGAAGGAATCATTTTTCTCATTGTTCTCCACTATGACCATTTCCTTAGCTCTGGCAGGAATATAGCATTCTCTTGAAACTCTAGATTATATGTTTTGGATTCTCGATTGAAACCTTTTTTTATGAAAATAGTTATGTTTGTTTATAGTGATGGTGTTCGAAATAACTTGGGCGTACCTTGATAAATTTCACCTGGTACTAGTACCGGGTGACAATAGTTGTATTTACAAAGGTAAGGTCTTTTTTTCGATGAACTTGTGACCAATCAAAGAAATTTTGTGTCTGTTTTTCATCCACGTGCTTTCCTTTATACCTTACACCATAATATAATGAGGATCCAATAGAAACTAAAATGGAAGTGCCAATAGAGCATTATTAAATCACTATCTCCCTATGGCTTAATATGTTTGTGTTTCAAGAAACAGAGCAAGGTAGATGTATCAAATACTTAAGAATTTAAATCTTCTTCTCCCTTAAGTATATTAATGTTTCATTTTCCCCTAATATAGGTTTGAGTTACATTTAAAATAATATAATTAAATTGTAATTTGTCTAAGGGTGTAACCACGTCCAAAGATGGCAGTGGGACCTCTTCATCAAATTTAGAGTTTGAGCCTTGAGAATATAATCGCCTTTGCTAAAGAGCACTTTATCTCGTAAAGTAAAAGTTTGTTAATGCAAATTTGGATTAGCGGTACCCAAAATAAGGAGGGAAACTAAAAAGGAAATTAAAACGGACTTTAATCAAACTAATGGGAGCTTTCTGTAAATTCTCAAAACAATCCTAAATTTCTTATCTTCTCCATTTCCGCAGAAGCAAACATGGCTCTCTGTTTTCTTGTACCGAATCCCATTAAAGTTTCACAATCATTTCCAAAGAGTTTTTCTTGGTCTTCAAAACCTACATTCCCAGCAATTGCAAGCTTTTATTCAGCAATTCCTCGTTTAGGTTACAGCAACTTGAAGAAACTCAATGCCCTTCACTGCAGCAATCTTCCTACTGCTTCCACAAATAACACTCAGTACGAGGTAACTTTGGTGTTCATTAAGTACATGTATACTCTAGTCATCAACCCATTATCAGCAGACTATGTTGCTGTAGTTGGTCCAAAGAACATGTCCAACTTTCCATTGTTTTTTCAATCAAATACGGATGTAAATATTTTAACTAGTACAGAAACACATCCTAAGTCTAATTGTTAATGTCTATCTTTATCAGGGATGAATAGGGGCTGGCAGAAGAATATCAACATCACACACCACACAACAACTAATGAAAACCCTAGAAAATGCATTATCACAAAGTTATGTTGATACTTTTACTGAGTTGATTGGCTTTATAATTTACATGCTAAGCTGTAAAATACAGAACAGCATACGAGTAACTATGATTATGTTCTTCGCATTTGGTAGTAAACTCGTAGAGGCTGTTTGGTTGGTGAAATAAGCATACATACATTTTAGGACTAATTAATACATTGTTTGCTTACTTGTTTTCTTCTCCGCGTAAGACTCTATGTATTGTTTCTGCAGGGTAGAATGTGGACTAAGAATAAGGGTATTGGTAATACATGTATTAAAATAAAAATAAAGGACAGAAATTCCCTTTCACTCTTCAGATTTGTTTTTCATTTTCTTTGAAAGTATCCAATAAGAAATGATCTCCATATTACTTATCCTTGTATTCGGACCAAACGACCGCTTAAGGTAGTGTCAGCTCCCTCTGAACTTGAGAATGAATTAGCTTCTCTTTACCGACCCAATTGTGAAACTTAATGCAGTTTTCTGATGGCTCTTCTGAGGTGGAATTGAGATTAGAACTTGGGCAGGGAGATGTAACTCCTAAGGAGATATATGTAGATGCAAATGAAAGTTCTTTAGCAATTAGAATAGAGCAATCTGGAATTATTCGGACTCTCATGGAAACCAGCACTCTGTATGAGAAGATAAAGCCTGCAGAGACAATATGGTAAAACACAAACAAAATCTTACTACACATGTTATATCCTTGCGCAAACATTTGCTGAAATAAATTGTTTCGTGCCAGGTACATAGACGATGATCAATTAGTAATTAGCTTGAAGAAGCAAAACTCTGAGTTGAAATGGCCTGACATTGTGGAGTCTTGGGAGTCCCTAAGTGCTGGAATTACACAACTCCTTAGAGGAACTTCAATATACTTAGTTGGGGAATCTACTGAAATCAACCAGAGGATTGCTCGAGAACTGGCTGTTGGACTAGGGTATGCATGTTCCTCACTTTAATGAGTAAAAGCTAATGCTACATACTGTGAGGGAGCCAGGGGGTGCAGGCGCTGGCATCTACTGCATGTATAGTGGTTTTCTTTAATTATCAATTTTTTGACTTAAAAAAAGAGTTGGATTAGTTGCATTTCCTTCTTCCACATTCACGATCATCCTTTTAAGCTATATTATATCATTTCCACATTCAACATCATCTTCTAAAAACTTTGTTCAACTCTTATGGTGGTTAGGTACACCCCTCTTAGTACTACGGAGCTGCTAGAAGCATATGCCAAGCAACCAATTGATTCATGTGAGTTACATCCGTTTTTTTCTCTTTGCAAAAGGAGATAACTATCAATAAGTAATAAGTTTCAAGGAAAAACAATAGAAAAAAAAAGTGTTTACAAGGAAGATCAGAACTATCCTGATTGCAGAGGGATAAACCAAATAACTAGGGAAGAGAGATAAAGCAAACATGCAAATCTAGGGAAACAATTAATTTGCTTTGTATCATGAAGATGCCATACACACAACACTCGTTTTGTCATGCATTCAAAGGCATAATATCCCCTTGCCTCCCTTCACCCAAAGATCCTTTTTCCTCTTTATTCAATTGTTTCCTAACCCATTCCAGGGGTAAATGAGGAGGGGTCTGATGTTGTAGCAGAAGCAGAAAGTGTTATACTAGAGAGCCTCAGTAGGTATTCACTCTGTTTTGTATGCCTTACTCGTTTCACTTGGTATTGATAAGTAGAAATATATTATATTTGATTCTTGTTTTAGCCATGCCCGTGCTGTTATTGCAACCTTGGGAGGGAAGAGAGGTGCCGCTGGAAGAGCAAACCAATGGAGGCATCTTTTTGCTGGATTCACAATCTGGCTTTCCATATCTGAAGCCACAGGTTAGGAAACTTAACTCTCTCTCCCCTTCATTTGGATGTATTGTATGTTTTACAAGCCACTCTATTGTTATATATTGCTATTTTCTGTCTATCCATGAGTTTCCATTCCCTTTATTTAGATAGTCTAGGAGTGACACAATACATATTTATTAAAACGGCATTTATTTTCTGGGGTTGTGGGGGGAGGAGGGAAGCAGGAATTGAGAACTTATTTTTATATCGTAAAATGTGGCTTTTCTACAATTGCTGAAAGTTGTTACTTGGTTTCATAGTATGTTGGCGTATTTGACACGCAAAACTATACCATTTTGTTGCTCACAAATCATATTGAATCATGGACTTGTTTGTTTAAGCTGTGTCCCCTAACAAGCTATGTGGAAAGTAACTCTTTCTTTGACTGCAATATGAATTATAAGTGTCTACTTCTCTCTCTTTAAATGATATATGGAGTGAATGCTGCTTCGAATCTAATCCAGTGAAATGATGAACTAAGATTAAAGTTTATCTCGCTATGAGTTTTCTTAGTTGACAAGCCAAGATCGGCATGCACATTTTCAACTTACTTTAGAGACATAAGTCGTCATGAGTGTTCCCTGTAGACCACAAATGAAGGGAGAAAAATAACAAAAACTAGTCTACCTCTAGAATTCTTTTCTTAAACAGAAATAAGTTGCATATTTTTTTATCTGACTCCCTTTCGAGTCTTGCGATTGCTAAAAACATCTGTCTACTGTAGAAACTATACAACTCCTGAGCGAGATATGAACTTGACAAGAAAATAGAAACTGAGATATAAATAAGTTTCTCCTATGTGCACCTGCCAACCCCTTGGCAACCAAGTGCAGATAATTGATCACTGGTGTACAAATTACCAAGTGCACCTCTAAATTATAACGGGAAATGTGTTCTGTTTCTTAAGCTGGTCTTTCATCTAAGATAAGTCTTGTTATGTATTTTAAGCTGATATCAACTGCAGATGAAGAATCTGCAAAAGAGGAAGCAAAAAGGAACATGCAAGATAGTGGTCGAGGTTACTCTAATGCTGAAGTGGTAGTAAAGCTCGGAGGTTGGGACCCTAACTATTCAAAGTCAGTAGCTCAGGCTGTGCTTAGTGCACTTAAGCGCTTAATTTTGGCAGATAAAGACCTTCCAGGTACACTGCATTTCATAACCATGCTTCCTACACCTAGTTGTTATGAACTTTGAATTTATTGTGGATAGGCTTATTCTCTTTCCAAAAGGCAGAAAAAAAGAAAGAAAAAACTATAACATAGATGGTAAAGGAGCTTGCGCAAGTGTAATGAGTTAAAGATGTGCTTAGCGTTATTGTCAGTATGTTGAGTAACCTTTTTTGATATTTCCTTCCGTTAACACTGTTCATAATGTACATGGTAATACATGCATATATATAGAGAGAGAGAGCGCTAATATGAGAATCATACGCTAATGTTCTAGCATTACAAAGAAAGAGCCCCTTTGCCTTGCCATGAATTGGAAGTTGTAAAAGCTTGTCATGTGATTTGTTATTTTGTTTTCTTCTATTCTGAAGGAAAAAAGAGTTTATACATCAGGTTGGGCTGCAGAGGTGATTGGCCAGACATCAAACCACCGGGTTGGGACCCGTCAAGCAGCGCTGATGTATTTTCTCCCTCCTCATAGCAGAGTCATAGTGTATGCATTTAATTGTAACTATCTCCCTCACCTTTTCCCCTTGTATTTTTCTGTATGAATATATGATATAATAGGAAACTTTGTCCTTGAGGGGCATCAACTTGGTTGTTGTTACATTCTTTATATGAACTGTAAGAAAGGTTTTGGCTTCGTTTGGACAAGACCGATTCATTGTTCAGCCCGAAAATAAGCGTCACATCAATGTATTTTCAAGAGTTTTTTAAAGAGGGGAGTGAAGTACAAGAACGTTATACTGCAGTAAAACAAGAGTCCTAGGCAACCAATTGCACCTTAAGCTTAAAAGTGATTATAATACAATGCCTTTATGTATATAACTTTTGTTCTCTTCAAGGCAGGCTTGGGAAGAGGAGATAATTACGCCAGGGGTTTGTTGGTGGGGGGAAGAAATCGGCCACATCGTCCCCGCCTAAAACCTATCTTTTGCTCTTGTAACTTCTGTGAGTGTTTTTACCAATATCACATAATCTTTCGTTACATCCTCATAATATACCATTTAACATGGAACATCCCTAATGTTTTCCAAACCTAACCAAAAAACCGTCCCTCCATCAAATTTACTGCCTTCTTCTCTTACATGTACTTTCTTTTTTTTTTCTTTTTGAAAAATCCGCACAAGCTTCATTAAAGAAGAAAAACTGACTTGACAACACTAAACCAGCGAGAATGGCCCTCCCTTCTCCGGATTTTCTAACATGCCATCTTGAAATGCGGCATGAGATCAGTTTCTTCCACCCGTTCCGGTTTAGGCTTAGACCAAGTCCAGTGATTTTTCTTGGTTAGACTCCTCATCAGGAAGGGATTTCTGGAAATATAATATCATCGTCGAGTTATCAATAAAGAACAATGAAAAGTGCAAAAAGGATTTAATAAAAAAAGAAAACATAAGCTATTTCCGGAAGTAGGGAACTAGTGATAGCCGTCGAAGGAAAAGACTCATCATTCCGTTGCAAGTACTGAAATATCTTTTCCAGAAGATGAATCCAACAGCAAGACTTTGAACCTTAAAAAGAAATGTACACGTGGAAATTTAGTACTACTTCTAATTGTGCTCTAAGTCAGAACTCAAAAGCAAATCGTCACTTTCGCTGTTGGGTGCTTCGATGGCTATGTTGGAAACAATAAAGTCTTCACCTAATCTGATACATATATAGCATCCGAGAAAGCTAGCCATCATAAATTAAAACTTTCAGGAGATAAAACAAATCTGTTGTTTTTGTTATTTGATGGGAACTTTTTAAAGAAAAAGATAAAGTGCATGTGAGAGAAGGCGGTATAAGCATTTAAATTTTGTTGGATTTAAATCCATAAAATAATTTGAACCATATTAAATTCAAGATATTAGTTCAAACAAATATCGTGGCTAGTAAACTGGGCTAGTTATTTAAATCCAATATATGTGTTGGGCTAATCCATTTAATTGGACTACGGATTAAATGATAAGCCCACTTCATTAGCCCAAGGTCCAAATGACTATTACCCCATCTTAAAGCCCGGGCTCATGCCACATGTCAAGTGATGTGGCAATCCAAGCCAAATAAATGAGGCATTGAAATCATGCCATGTGTCAAGTGATGTGGCAATCCAAGCCAAATAAATGGACCAATTAAATCATGCCAAGTGTCTGATGGTATTGGTCGGTTCAAACGGACCAATCAAATCGCAGAGCCACACCACCCCCTATAACTATAAATAGAGGTCTCCATAAAGCTAGAAGACACCAGAAGTGATAACAAGAAGTAAGCAGAGAGCTCGTGGAACAAACACCACAGATTTCTCTACAAGCTACAAGTTCAAGTTCGAGAATGAAGCCAAATCAAATACCAAGGCGTTCAAGATCAAATTACTTGTTCATGATCAAATCCAAATTCAAGTTCAAGAAGGAGATTCAAGATCAAGCTTTACATGCCCTTGAATCAAATCAAAGTCAAGCTCATTAAGATACTTTACATTCTTGAAGAATCAGAGGAATACCATAGAGATTATAACACTTTCATTTATTGAAACACATTTGTTACGCAATTTTTCAGTCTTGATTATTTATTTTTCTCGACGCGAAAATTTGTTGTTACAAATTTCTGGCACGCCTAGTGGGACAATCTCTACCTCTCATCTCTTCAAATTACCAAATTTCGAGAACACAGAAATGGCTCCTAAGGAGATCAACTTCAAACTCACTACTGCTAAGGCTACGGAATCCAAGTTTTCATCTGATGTGGAAAACTTGCTGGATGCTACTATGGAAAGCGTAGGACATGTCACTAGGAACAAAGCAAACTTGCTGGGACAACAAGCATTTCAAATGCCGTCTGCATCAGTTCCTATCTTTGATATTCAATCCTCAAAGGGGGCAAGATCCTTTTCAACTGAATTGGAAGAAGGAGCGAACGTTGCTGAAATTGTTGAAAAGACATTGGCTCTACTTAGCCCTTCTAGATCTAAGAATCTCATCACACAGGATGATGATGATGTCTTGATCACTGGATCTGCTCCAAGGACTCCATGTGAGTTGTTCCAGTCAAAGTATGGTGTAAGAGAAAACTCGTGCTTTGCTTCACCATCCACAACGGTTATCCAAGCAATGGTGACTAATACTTCAACTGTTGAAGAACAACTCACAAATTTAACAAAGGCAATTGAAGGGTTAACGAAGCATATGCAAGATCAAGATAATCAAATTGTCAAGCTGACAGATAGAGTTGAAAGCATGATGGAGGGAGATTCAAGTCATGCACTTGGAAAGCTCCCAATGATGCAAGATAAAGGAGACTCATCTGCAAGGCAGACTACGGCTCCTAAAGAATTTCATATTTCATCTGATGGGGTTATTCCCATTGACCAATTGAAAGACTTCACTATGGGAACCATCAAAGATAAGTACGATGTTGCTGCCAAGTCTTCTCTCGCATATGCGAAGCCATACATCGCGAGAATTGATAGTTTGAAGATGCCTGCAGGTTATCAATCCCCAAAGTTTCAACAATTTGATGGTAAAGGAAATCCGAAGCAACACATTGCACACTTCGTCGAAACTTGTAATAGTGCTAGAACCTATGGAGATTATCTTGTCAAGTAGTTCGTCCGTTCCTTAAAAGGAAATGTTTTTGATTGGTACACTGATCTCGAGGTTGGTTTTATCGATAGCTGGGAGCAACTTGAACATGAATTTCTCAATCGCTTCTATAGCACAAGGCGCACCGTAAGTATGGTCGAACTCACAAACACGCGTCAATGGAAGGATGAACCAGTTGTTGATTTCATCAGTTGATGGAGGAATGCGAGCCTCAATTGTAAAGACAGACTTAGTGAAGCTTCTGGAATAGAAATGTGTATCCAAGGAATGCATTGGGGACTTCGCTACATCCTACAGGGTATGAAGCCTAATTCTTTTGAAGAATTGGCTACACGTGCTCATGATATGGAGCTAAGTATGTCTTCAAGTGGAAATCAAAGGCCACCTATTTATGAACCTCGCAAAGTGAAGGATAAACAAGAAATAAAGAAAGGAGGCAAGTTTGTGCCGAAGTTTGAGAGTAAGGAATCAATGAATGTTGATGCCTCGCCATTAAAGGTCACTACAAAAGTGAGTAAGAAGCAAAGTGTGAAGACAAAGTCCTTACCTGATAAAGTTGGCCGAAAGTTAACCCTGAAGGAAATGCAAGCGAAAGAATATCCATTCTCGGACTCTGATGTCCCAGCAATTTTTGAAGAACTCCTTGAGTTGAAACTCATTGAGCTACCCGAAATGAAGCGGCCGAACGAAGCTGGAAATACTAATAATCCAAATTATTGCAAGTACCATCGGTTGATTGGCCACCCTATTGAAAAGTGCTTTATCTTTAAGGAGAAATTCATGGACTTGGCCGCTGAAGGGAAAATCTTGCTTGAGGATGAGAAAGATAGTTCAAATCAAGTGTCTTTCGTTTTTGGTTCACTTGATCCCATTTTCCTTTGCAATTTTGTCGAAGTACATGAATGTGATGGCATCCAAACTGCATCATCACCAAATATGATTAAATTTGGTGACTTTGAACCTAACAATGTGAGAAAACCATTGCTTCTCCCTATGGGTTATAAACTAATAGTGGAGTAAAGATATCAAGAGAAAGGTGAATCACGTGATGATCAAACTGATGATGAAGGTTGGATTCTTGTGGCGGAGACGCTACAAGACAGATTCACAAAGGGAGTCAAATAAGCAGTTGACTAGGGTAAAAATGGTGAAAATATCCAAGAAGAAAATGATAAAGAAGAACTGGAAGAAAGCAAAAATGACGGAGAATCACTATCAAAGGCTACGTCGTCCAGTGACATTGGAGGAATTCCTGCCAAGCTGGTTACACCGCGAGCTTCCTGTAAATATATCAAGGCCTCATGTTGTAAGATAGATGAAGAAGAGACAAAGAAGGAGGATCCATCATTGCTGCCACCTCCCTTGCTTGAAAAACTCACTGGGAATTCTGAAAAGTGGACATTTGTGATGCAAAAATCACATTTACTAATGATGATCTTTTTCTTGGTGAAACACACCATAGTCGCCCCCTATTTATGGTTGGCTTTGTGCGAGAACAGAGAATAAGTAGAATCTTGATCGATGATGGATCTGGCGTCAATATTCTCCCAATTCGTACTGTCAAAGAGCTTGGCATACCGATGGATAAACTATGTGAAAGTCGTTTGATGATTCAAGGGTTCAATCAAGGGGGCAAAGAGCTATAAGGGCTATCAAATTGGAAATAAATATGGGATATTTGCATTCGAGTGCATGGATGCACGTGATCGATGCAAAAACCTCATATAATATCTTGTTAGGAAGGCCATGGATACACGAGAACAAAGTGTTTCATCCACCTACCATCAGTGCTTGAAATACTGCGAAGGTGGGGTCGAAAAGAAGATAGTTGTTGATGATAAGCCCTTTACCGAGGCTGAATCATACTTTGCTGATGCAAAATTCTACTTAAAGAATTACGTCTCAAAGGAGGTTAAGGTTGATGATGTGATGTTGACCAAAAGTGTTGTAAAGAATGTTGGTGTCACAACTAGCAAGGAAAAGATTACAGTTGAAAAAGATCAGGTGCTTCATGATAGGAACAAGATGAATGAGACATCTTCAAGTAAGAAAGTGACTCATGTTCTTCGT